ATACTGTGTATATTTATACTGGCAGTATGGAAAATGATTATTTTGAAATGCTTAAAATGGAAATGATCATTTACTGTGAGGTGTGGTTGGGGTGTGGACAGCGGTTGTGCTTTTGTAATGTTGAGGTATGGACAGCTACACACTGAGGCAGCCTCAGTCCTGCCCACATTTTATTTTTTTCTGTAAAAACTAAATTTCCACTGCTTTTATGGCCTTTTTAGTGGGGAGAACATAGCTAGGATTTAATGATTTATCAAATCTTTTAAATCCTTTGTCCTCCACAATGCTGAATGGCTGGGAATCCTCAATCACCATGCTAACCAGGTCTTCATCTATTTGAGATTGTTTTTGTTGTCTTTCCTCAGCAGAGCAAAGCACAAATATAAATATCACACACGTCACTTATTGCATTGTATAGAATAGAATAATCCTTTAATTGTCCCACAAGGGGAAATTTGGTTGTAACAGCAGCCAAAAAGACACATATACATACAAACAGGGCACAGAACAGAAACATACACAATTTTTACATATTTACATCAAGGACAGTGGTTACTATATACAGAGAGCACTGTACAGTTATTAAATTAAATAAAAATAACTACAGGGTAAACCAGGTTGTAGTGCGAATCGGTTAATTAACTTGTTGCAGTTACAGCGCAGATGTGAACATCTGTTTGTTGGGAGCAGTTCTGATTGTACAGTCTGACAGCTGCAGGGAGGAAGGACCTACGGAAACGCTCCTTCATGCATCTAGGATGCAGCAGTCTGTCACTGAAGGAGCTCTGCAGTTCAGCAACATTTACATGCATGGGGTGGGAGTAGTGATGGGCAGATGAAGCTTCATGAAGCACTGAAGCTTTTCATCCAATTGGTTCACCCCAGCGCAAAGCGTCGTGAATGAATTTGAAGAGTGTGGCCTTTTGCACACAGCCTGTAAATGTCAACAACAAAAGGAGTGTGTAAAACATGTATATTGTAGTAATGGCAGTACACTGTGTATATTTATAATGGCAGTACGGAAAATGATTATTCGGAAATGATCATTTACTGTGAGGTTGGGGTATGGACAGTGGTTGTGTTTTTGTAACGTTGAGGTATGGACAGCTACACAGTCCTGCCTGTTCACATTTTATTCTGTAAAAACTAAATATTCACTGCTTT